TGGGGTGGAGTGAGGGGAAGAGGGGGAGTAGCTGGGGTGGAGTGAGGGGGAGGCTGGAGTAGCTGGGGTGAAATGAGGGGGGATGTGGGAGGAGGTGGGCTTCCTAGACCATTGTGAGAGGAAGAATTTACTCTGAGATACAGGATGCCACCGGGAGGGTTTTGAACACTAATAACCACAATTTGACTTCCATTTAAAGACCACTGTGATAGCCATACTGAGAATAGTCAGTAGAGGGGAAGGAAGGAAGCAGGAAGCCCAGATAGGGGGCTGTTGTAAAAATTCAGACAAGTGATGATGGTAACTAGGATCAGACATTACTAGTAGAGGTGGCAAGAAGTGGTTGGATTCTGGATATAGTTTGAAGGAAACGTTGACAGGATTTGCTGATGGACTGGATGTGTGTAAAGAGCATGAGAAAACCTGAAACTGATGTAACATTGTATGTCAACTATACTCAAAAAAGTTTACCAGGAAAAAAAAAATAAAAGATGTATATGAGAGAGAAGCCAAGATTTTGTCCTGAATGGAAGAATGGAATCACCATTAACTGAGATAGATAAGGCTGGGGAGAGAATGCCCAACAAACTGGAAATGAAAGGGAACTTCCTCAACCTGATGAAGAGCATCTACAAAAAACCCACAGCTCATATCATGCAGAATGGTGAAAGACTGAATGCTTGTCCCCAAAGATCAGGAACAAGACAGCGATGTCCACTCTTGCCATTTCTCTTTCTCTTTCTCTTCCTTCCTTTTCTTCTTCTTCTTCTTCTTCTTTTTTTTTTTTTTTTTGAGAGAGAGGGGGGCAAGGGGCAGAGGGAGAGGGAGGGAGAGAATCTCATGCAGACTCCCTGCTGAGCGTTGAGCCTGACGGGCTCCATCACATGACCCTGAGATCATGACCTGAGCTGAGATCAAGAGTCAAATGCTTAACTGAGCCACCCAGGCGCCCCCACTCTTGCCATTTCTATTTAGCATTGTAACAGGACATTCTAGCCAAGGCAATTAGGCAAGAAAATGAAATAAAAGGCATCCAGGTTAGCAAAGAAGAAGTATAACTTACCTCTTTTTGCAGGTGATACAATTTTGTATATAGAAAATCCTAAGGAATCTGCTAGAAACTATTAGAACTAATAAATGGGTTTAGCAAGATTGTAAGAAACAAGATCAATATACAAAGTTCAGTTGTATTTCTTTCTTTTTTTTTTTTTTTTAAAGGTTTTATTTATTTGACAGAGAGAGCACAAGCAGAGGGAGGGAGAGAGAGGGAGAAGCAGGTTCCCTGCTGAGCAAGGAGCCTGATGGGGGACTCGATCCCAGGACTCTGGGGTCATGACCTGGGCCGAAGGCAGCCGCTTAACCGACTGAGCCACCCAGGCGTCCCTCAGTTGTATTTCTGTGCATTAGCAATGACCATTCAGGAAATTAAGAAAATAATTCAATTTAACGCCATGAGTCTAGATGAGATCACCTGAAGAGAGAGAGAAAAAGTCAGGATGGAGAAGAGAAAGGTCTGCGGTCTGAGCTCCAGGTCACCAATGTTTAAAGGTCAAGGAGATGAGGAGGAGCCAAGGAGGCCTCTAGACAACCAAGAGACAGTTGTGTGCTCGGGCAAATATTTGAGGAAGGAGGAGGTGATCAGCAGTGTGTGATGTGGTGGAGGGGGGAGTAGGGTGGGGACTCGCAGCTGAGTAAATGGATGAGCCTGGGTGAACAGCAAGAGAGAGAAGGAATGAGAGTGGGAGGGTTGAGGGAAAGGGTCTGTCCAGAAACAATACTTTGAAAAATGGAATAAAAATAGAGCATGAGAAAAATGAATATGCAAGCCCATGTTTTTCCTTGTTAGATTCCACAGACATATTATTATGAAAGTTTGTAAGCCCTTGCTCAATTTCTATACCTGTCTCGTGATAGCCTGTAACAGTTTGCCAAGTGGACTGGTACCCACTCTGTTGGTCCATGGAATCCACTCTGTGTTGTGTAGGTCTAGCCCGGGCCAGGCAAGCATAAGCTGAAATTCATTCGGAATGGGTATGTACAGAATACTCTGCTAGATGGTTTATTCTTCTTAGAGAATAAACATTGGTCTTGTACTCGAAGGCTATATATTTCCTTGTTCAGAAAGAATAAAGTCTGAATTTGGGTCCCATATAGTTTATTGTGAGCAAGTCAGAAACCACAAGAAGCCTATTCTGAAGCATTATCCCTTTCTATAAATGACTGCTGTCTTCCTTATAATCCTGACATTTGTATGGTATTTTAGTCTGAATTGCTCATTTAAGCTTTATACAACCTTGTGAAGTGGGTGGATTTTTCATCTCTGAAGAAACGGGCTCAGAGAGAGGAAACAGCTCCTCCATCCTCATGCTGCTTGAAAATGATAGAGCCAGGACTGCCCCTTTAGACCCCCTGCCACCAGACTCGACTGGGGGGTTTTTAGTCCCCTTCCAGATAGGAATTAAATGTCAGCTGTACTTGGATAGTTTATGTCTGCATTATTATGAATTTGCAGGTTGAAGTTGGTGGGTGTGTGGGGGTGTGTGTTCTCAGCATAGCAAGGTAAATAGACTTTGTCTTTCAATGTAAACAGTTTCTGGGTTGCACCATTATTGCCTTTAAATTCTGATCAGAAGTGCTGTTGGTTTCTAGAAATGCTGCCTAGTAACAGAGTGGTTTCTTCTTTCATAGTGTATGAATTATTTGCGTTCATCAGTCACATGGGAACATCTACAATGAGTGGCCATTATGTTTGCCACATTAAAAAGGAAGGAAGGTGAGTCTTTTTTAGAAGATCAATGATGTCTGTGTTTTATTGAGCACCTACTGTGTGCCAGGCTCTCAGGTAGGTGTTGCACATATTACCCCATTTGGTACTCATGATGGTTTGTAGGAATATACTCTCAAAGCCATTTTACACATCAAGACCCTGAGGCTCAGAGAAGCTGAGTAGCGGGAACTTAGCCTGGAAGTAGTAATGTCAGAGCTGGTATTCAAAGCCACTCTCAACCATCATACCCAAGTGACTTCCCAAAATAAAGATGCATCCTGCAGTAGAATGTGTGTATGTTTGGGACCTCCACAGGGTTGCCAGTTTTAGCCCACAAAACAGGAAAACCAGGTGCCCTGTTAAATTTGAATTTCAGGTAAACAATGAATAACTTTTTAGTATAAATGTATCTTAAATGTTACATGCAATGTATTTATACTCAAAATTATTTCTCCCTTCCCTGCTATATAAATTTGACTGAGTATCCCGTGTTTTATCTGGCTTCCTTAAACATCCACTGTTTTGCCCTATTGTGGCCTTGCAGTAGGCTTCTTGGCTTTGTAAGTAGAATCGCTAGGTGTGTGGTGAGCTGGGAGTGAGACACTGATGGGACGTAAGGCTGCTGCTCTCTTCAGGACCTTCTCCTTGGGCTGGATCCCCGCAGAGCCCCCTGGTTCCTCTTCTGTGAGCTCCCCTCCCTGAGCAGCCCGAGGCTCAGCCTCCTACTTGAGGCTGTGCTCAGCCCCGTGGATACTGGAGAAACCTAGAACCTTGCTCTGTCCTGGTGGGACGTTGACCTCTTACACCGTGCCACACACTGCAGGAGACACCGGTTCCCACCAGGGACTTGGTTGTGCTCCCTTTTGGTGTGTCTTTTAGTGTCTTCTGAACTTGATTAATGAAATAGTTGAGCACAGGTGTTTGATTGATAGGAAATTCTTTTTATTATCAAGCATGATGCTCTTTTCAAAATACTTTTCTTAAGAAAAGTAGCTTAATTATAATTCAAAAGCAATAAAATTTATGGTAAGGAATTTGTAAAATGCAGAAACATAACAGAGAATATGTCATTTGGAAGCCTAAAGATAATCATTGTTTATGTTTCAACACATTTCTCTTTTATTATTTGCACTGGGAGAGAGGATCCGCGTGTATACATGTACATGCTACATATAAATGTACATATACCTTTACAACTTTTCTAAAGGCTTAAAGTATGCACACAGCACATACAATTTTTTAACCCTTTTCCCACATCATACTGTATTGTGATTATTTTCTCACTTTACCAAATATTCTTTGAAGATATTTTAATAGTTGTGTGATAGTTCACTTGCATGGCTCTTTACTTCTCATTTTGACCTAGTTTTATACCTCAGGCTGAAATAAACACTGTCGTACATGATTCTTTGACTTAATTTCTGAGGCCATCTATGGACTTCTACAAAAGGGGTTTTGAGACCAAAGGGTTTAAAATGTTTGGTGACTCCTTTTGTAACTACCTTTTGATTGAGCTCAAGAATAAAAAAGCAGTTGCAATTTCCCACTAGCATTCTCTCTTTTTATACAGCAGGCTTGAGTTTGGTTATCTTAAAACATCTTGATGAAGTATGGTACAGTAACTTGTTTTCTGCCAGGCTTCCTGGGACTGACTGAAATCCATCGAGGTCTTCTGTCTTTTGTTTTCAGGTGGGTGATCTACAATGACCACAGAGTGTGTGCCTCAGAAAGGCCCCCCAAGGACCTGGGCTACATGTACTTTTACCACAGGGTGCCACGCTGAGCCTCAGGCGCGCCAGTTGGCGAGAGGAAGCCACACGCCTTTTTAATTTGCCAAAAAAAAAAAAAAGAGCAGAAGTTGGGACAGCCAGACATGAACGAATACATGGGGTATTTATAGTTTATTTAAAGAACATCATTTGACGCCTTCTGAAATAGAACTGGGAAGAAATTTCTATTAGTGATGATACACTACTGTAGATAGTTTTTCTTTTTATAAATGTTCAAGGAGAGGATGATTTAAAAAAAAAAGTATTTATATTGCTGGTGGGGGATCTGCCACTGTCACACCAAAAAATGGGAATGTGCCACCAGCCCTCTATTATGCTTTGGGGGCCAGTGGTGTGGCCTCACCCCCCCCAATAAACAAAAAGCCCATTTTTGTTTCATATCGAAAATCAGTAATGGGATGGGCTTTATTTGTGACACAATTTTTTCATTACACACAATTTCTGACGTAGCCATGTATAGAAGATTAGAGCATCTGCAATGAAAGGTATTTTTAATTTAATCGTATCGAAATTCATGATGTGATTGTGTGAATGCATGAGGGTGAGATCGTTATCGTCAACCAGGAAATCTGTGCCGGGCTGGTTTTTAAAGATTAAAGCAGTTGGTATTAAGCATAGCTGGGAAAAGCAAGTAACTATTTTAAAGAAACTATAACTCAGGAACAGTTTTAAAAATTGGCTCCCCACTTAGATTTTCACGCATAAAAAGGGCTGAGTTGTCCCTTTAAGTGCTGTCAAGAATTCACTGGGGTTTGGGACATTTGGTGGAATAAGGTCGATGCCCACAGCAGCACAATATTGTTCTTTGCCAAACAAAGGTAGATGAATTCTGTTTCTCAGCAGCCCTTCCCGCTAAGGCATAGCATGTATTTTTAGTTAAAATAGCTAATCTTACCATAACATGTAACAACTCCCTGGAATCACACAAAGTGCCCCAAATTTGTCTGTAATTTTCTTGTGCCCACGCTCTTTGCCTGCCTCTGTTTCTACATTTTCCTGGGGCTAGAGTCTCCTCTCGGCCCTCTCTTGGCTAATCACCTCCTGACTTGCCTTCGCTGCTTATTTGCTGCGACTAGCAGTGTGATCTTGGGTACCTTAAGGGCCTCAGGTGCAAAGTAAATTTTTCTGACGTTATGAAAGACCATCATTTCCATTTTGGTATCTTAGTATTTTTGTTGCAACCTAGGATTAGATCAGAGTTTCAGATGTGATGAAAAAGTGCCACGAGCCTGGTTTATCATCTTCCTACAGCTCTGTACCGAATTCCAAGGTCTCTGGAGTTTCTATTTCAGATTGTCCAGTCAAATGAAGAAGGATCTATTGCAATCTGCTTACCAGGCATTTGGTTGGTAGAAAGAATCTTTCTAGAAACTGTAGGAAAATTAAGTAGAACCAGCTGGGTAAAATGCCACATGGACGGTGGATTATGACATGGTGAGTTGTGAAGAGTCAGGATTCCGGTTATGATCAGGGCTCCTCTCCCGGGAGTTCAGCTCCCCGTGTGTGTGAGGGACGCCGTGCCCCAGGCCCAGAGTCCGGAGACTTGGGTGCTGCCCCTAGCTGGGCAAGTCCCTCATCCTCCCTGTGCCTCACTTTCCTTATCTGCACAATGATACCTGCTCTCTCTTGCCAACTGTGCTTTGAGGATATGGTGAGATTTGATACAATGACTCGTGAAAGAGTAGCAGGTGGGGTGCCATGTGGGTCCTAGGAAAGTGTGCTCCCTCCTTCTCTCGTCTGATGCTTTCTTCAATTTGGGAACAAATGCAGTTGGCATAAGGAGGGAGCTCATGATGCAGTAATTCTGTCTCTACTCGGTTGTACCCACCGGTGTCCTCTTTTAATGTTGCTTCGGATATCCTAAAGCAGCTCCACTGTCACATGAGTCTCAGACTCCTGTAGAAATCCCCACGCTAAGCAGCCTTAAAAAATCCAGCCTCCTGAGGGCTGAGTGTCATGGAATAATGACGTCAAACACACATCCAAAATGACTTCTTTTCAACGCTATTACAAAGCGAAGGCCTTCTTCAGGGGTGGGGGGGGTGGATATTGGGGATTTGGAGTGAAATGTGGACAAAGATAGCATGTGTATTTTGAACAAAATAAAAATTTTGTAATAAAACTTTGCAAAATGGTGTAAAATCAGTATAAGACTATAGGCTATACATTATTTAATTTTGTTAAGTAGAAAAATAAACTTAGCCCTTCCGATGCCTAACATATTGTAAGAAAGTATACTGTGGCTGCCTTTTTTTCCTGCCTCACAAAACAAAGGGCTATTTCTACAAGGCAAAGTTTTGTATATGTGCTATTCTTCATTTCAGATTGAGAGCTGGGGAAAAACTGGAGCAAATAATGGGTTTCTTTCTTGCTTAAAAGTGTATTTATATGTATACCTTAATATATACAAAGCAGGTTTCCCTGGAATAAAAGTCTGGAACATACGCCTTCATTTTACACACATATGTTGACGAGATTACTTGTGACTGGAAACTGGAATAACGTGTGGATTTTGTCAACTGATTATCAGCCTGTGAGGAGTCCTCTGTGTGAGGTGTGGTGGTATAATTGTGAAATTCTCACTGTGCGTGGCTATACGTGTGAAAGTGCATTTTTTTTTTCTGTAAATATCTTTTGATACCCTTTTGTGTAGAATCCCAATGAATGTGTCTTTGGAAAATGTATCAAAGTTTTTATTTTGTCAATTGATCTAAGTGCCCATATAACTAATCAGAAATCCAGTTTGGTTCAGATTGGGATTTTTTTTTTTTTAAGGGGAAAAAGCATGCAGAAAGGACTATCGGAAGAATCGTGTTTTAATGCCACGTTACATCAACATTGCTTCGTGTTTTGAATTGACTTGGCTGTTTTCTTTCAACTATAAGAGAATGTGCCTGCCATTGTTCCACGCTCACTTTGGGCTATAAGAAGCCTACCACAAGCTTGAGCCTGTGACCCCCAACATCGTTTATCCCCACGACCTGAACTGGCCGGAGCCTCACTTGTCCCACGGAGAGCACCTGGGTTGGGGCCCGACTTCACCCCAGTGCCCCGGACCCCTTACCTCTCTGGGCCTTTTCTTTACAATTAGTGCATTAGGCTGGATAAGCTCAGAAGTCCCTTCTTGCCCTAACATTCGATTCTATTTTTATTTTCCTATGGTTACTCCTGGGCCAGACATGCGGGATGTGAGGGATCCCGGAGAGGTTAGTTGTAATGTGTTGGTTTGTTGCAGTTCATACGCCCCAGCTTATAAGCTGCATCATTTTTTTTTTAAAGATTTTATTTATTTGACAGAGAGAGACACAGCTAGAGAGGGAACACAAGCCGGGGGAGTGGGAGAGGGAGAAGCAGGCTCCCCGCGGAGCAGGAAGCCCAATGCGAGGCTCCATCCCAGGACCCCTGGGATCATGACCTGAGCAGAAGGCAGACGCTTAACGACTGAGCCACCCAGGTGCCCTAAGCTGCATCATTTTTAAAAGTGTCCCCACCTTAACCTCTCTGCGCACATTCTTGGGTAATTATATTACTTTCCCCCCATTCTTGAAACTCTTCACCTCTCAGTCCATGAGATACCTTGTTTCCATCCCCTTCAAAAATGAAAAATCTATGTAAAACACCTCCCGTGATGAAAAACCTCAGACCCACTTTCAGCTAAATCTGTAACGTTTATAGAATATTTTCTTACTCTAATTCAGTTATAGCTAGGATCCCCAAATGAGTGCGGAGAAAGTTACCTATCATAGAAAGGATGTCTTTTCCTCTTGTAGGCGTCACTGTTGCTAAATCACATCATCTATGTAGTGTTGGGGAGGTGGCAGGTGATGAGCAGGACTAGGGAATAGGATCAGATGAAATGTGATTCCACCCTTTACCGAGGTCAGAAATCTAGGTTACAGAGTAAGAGTCTGTACTCTTAAGTTGGCGTATAAGATCACCTACCCAGTGCTGTGAAGATTCCCTACTTCTGTAAATCATCTTGAAAGAGTTTTTTTTTTTTTTAATTCTTTGGTCTGTGCTATTTAGTGCAGTTGTCAGTAGCCACATATTGCTCATGACCTCTTGAAATTGGGCTTGTCCAAATCGAGATTGTGCTGGTCACGTAAAATATACACCAGATTTTGAAGGCTTGGTACCAAAAAAAGGGAATGTGAAATATTTCATCCATATTTTATATTGACTACATGCTGAAATGACAATATTTTAGATAAATAAGGCATTATTAGAATTTCACTTACTCCTTTTTATCTTTTTTTTAATATGGCTTCCCGAAAACGTAACCCACATGGCTTGCATTACACCTGTATGGGACAGCGCTGCTCCAGACGCTAGATGGCGCGGGGTAGGCCGTGAGGTGCCACGTGTGGCAGGTCCTTCTCCCAAGCATCCAGATAGAAGCAGCACACATATTTTCGCTGGAGTCGGGAGCACTGTGAGGCACAGAATGCCTCCCAGAAGACAGAAGATTTTTCTGTGTAAAACCAATTTGTATAAGACTCCAATTAAAACACAAAAGCAAATGAGCCCCAAAACCCTGTCCCTTCAGCTTTGCTTAGAAGCTGCTAACTTTGCACTTATTTTTCTGGCATCTTCCACGTGCCAAGGATGCTGGCAACATGAGGGTGCTGGGCATATTTGCTTCACTTTAGGCAACATTCTCTTGTGGTCTCCCCTCCCCAGGTATTCTTTGGTCTGTTCTGAGCCGGGTGTGTGGACATACGGTATAGATCTTGCCGCTCCTATCGGCCTTGGCAGAGGCTGAGCTTGTCGCCTGCGCCCACCTGCCCAGCAGGTTTTGATGTTGGCTCCTGAAAGAGTTTGTATTTATTTTATTTTGCACTAGTCATAGTTGTTGTTAAAATATCTCAACTGTTTTGGGAGAGCATTGCCTGTGATGGAAAGAGAGATGGATGATTTATTGCTTCAGTTGTTTTAAAATTAAAAGCTATTCTCACAATCTGAGGTCCCTTTATGGCTCTTTTTTCTTTTGCAAGATGCCACGTAAACGGATTCTGCCCTTTGCAGGTTCTCATCCATCAGTGGAACAGGTAACTTGAGACAGCGACTAATTTTATTTTGTTTTTAGGGTTTCTTTGTGCGGGCACCAGGGCCGCCTCATTCCCATCGGTAGTGGAATGTCAGCAATGGTGCAAGATGTTACTTCTGTGGGGGACGGAGGGACCACGGTGGGGAAGAGTCTGATGTCTTTTAGACTTTCTCTACTGGATGTCAAGTTGAACACTGGAGTCGATTGGGACCCTTCTGTGGTGCTGTGACTTTCAGTTTGCTGATAGCTTCCCTAACGCAGGTGCAAGAACACCCAATGCTGGTTGCACCAAGGGATTTCAGCATTTCTGTGGCACCGTGTTTGTAGGGTGTGTGAGTTTCCTATTGCCGCTGTAACAAATGACCATAAACTCAGTGGCTCAAAAGAGCACATTTATTAGGTGAGAAGTCTGAAAATGGGTCTTACAGAGTTAAAACGTTGGTGTTGGCAAGGAAGCTCCATGTGAGAATCCATTCCTTGCCTTTTCCAGCTTCTGGGGTTATTCTCATTCTTTGGCTTGTGGTCTCCGAACAACATGGGCATTACTTAGTGTCTGCTTCCACTGTCCTAGGCCTCTGACTGGCTCTCCTGCTCCCTCTTATAAGGATCCTTTTGATCACATTAGGCCCACCCAGGTAGTCTGGAATAATCTTCCCATTTCAGGATCCTTAAATTAATCATATCTGTAATGTTCTTTTTTGCCATGTAAGGTTACATAGTCACAGGTTTTGGGGATTAGGGTGTGGACATCCTGGAGGAGGCATTATTTTGCCTCCATATATGGTATGCTTCTTATTACTTAAAACATGTCCATTCAATACTTAAAATTTTTTAAAGAATCAACCTATAAATTTTTAAAAATCCAAGTAAAATGACCAGCATCAGCATTGTGCCATAATGTTTTGGTGAGAAGAGAAGGAAATGATGGGGATGGGGGATTTCCTGTGACTCAAGAATTAGAAAGTTTTTAGGATGATGTTCGTGAGCCAGCTGCTGCTCACATTCACTGGCTGTGCCCCATTGTGCCCAATGGAAGTGTTTACCAGTGTGTGTATGCACTGTTTGAACCTAAGGTCCTGCTTCTCTAATGTGGTCAGTGACAAACCATTTGTAGTGGGGAAATTTAATAGGAAACAGTGAGTTATTCTCATCCTCATGCAACCAAGTATTTAAAAATTTACTAGGGGGCGCCTGGGTGGCTCAGTTGGTTAAGCGACTGCCTTCGGCTCAGGTCATGATCCTGGAGTCCCGGGATCGAGTCCCACATCAGGCTCCCTGCTCAGCAGGGAGTCTGCTTCTCCCTCTGACCCTCCCCCCTCTCATGCTCTCTCTCTATCTCATTCTCTCTCAAATAAATAAATAAAATCTTTAAAAAAAAATAAATAAAAATTTACTAGGAAGTCTTCGGTGAGGTGGGGCAGAGTGATAAAATGGCAAGAGTGGAGGCATAGAGACTTGCCTTCAGATCCTGTTTCAAGCCTAGACTAGCTATGTGACTTTGTTAAGCACTTAATATCCTGAAACAGAGTCTTGGCATCTGTGCAGTGGGCATGATAAAACATGAGAGGAGTTATGTAAAACATCTAACAGTCTGGTGGCACAGGATATCTTTACTGTGCTAGTTTATGTCACTATTTTAACCCCATAGCACTTTGACCCTATGGAGGTTCTGACCCTTTGTTTCAGTCCAGAAAAAAAAATTTTTTTTTTTAAAGATTTTATTTATTTATTTGAGAGAGAGAGAATGAGAGAGAAAGAGAGCATGAGAGGGAGGAGGGTCAGAGGGAGAAGCAGACTCCCTGCTGAGCAGGGAGCCCGATGCGGGACTCGATCCCGGGACTCCAGGATCATGACCTGAGCCGAAGGCAGTCGCTTAACCAACTGAGCCACCCAGGCGCCCCTGGAAAAAAAATTTTTTTTAAAGAATCAGAATTATACCAACATCAATGACTTTTTTTTTCCAAAGCATTTTTCTAGAGATAATTTCATTAAGCCAATTTATTTTGTTAATCTATATAGCATGGCTCCATCGTTCAGTAAATACTAAACATCTATGTGCTGGGCATTGTTTTTCTTAGAATGTATCAGTAAACAAAGTAGACATGACTCTTTGCCCTTGTGGAGTTTATTTTCTAGCAGGGAGAGCCAGACACTAAACAAGAAATAAGTAGCTTATATAATATGTTAAAAGGTATTATGTGCTATGGAAAAAAAGGAACAGCAGAAGGGGGGTGGGAGGTGCAAATTGTGGTACTAAATGGGGTACTCTTTTTTTTTTAAAGATTTTATTTATTATTTATTTGAGACAGAATGAGAGACAGAGAGCATGAGAGGGAGGAGGGTCAGAGGGAGAAGCAGACTCCCTGCCGAGCAGGGAGCCCGATGCTGGACTCAATCCGGGGACTCCAGGATCATGACCTGAGCCGAAGGCAGTCGCTTAACCAACTGAGCCACCCAGGCGCCCTGTCTTAATTCTTGTGAACTAAATGGGGTACTCTTTGAAGGCATCATTTGGAGGTGAGATTTGAACCAAGACTTGAAGGAGGTGGAGGAGTCATCTAAATGGATATTTGGGGGAAAGATATGCTTGGCATAGGGACTCACTGGAGCAGAGAATCCAGGGTGGGAGAGCATATCCATTATGTCAGAGAAGCAGCAAGGGGACCAGTGTGGTTTGAAAGAAGGGAACGACGGGCAGAATAGTGAGAAAGGAGTTTGGAGAGAGGCCAGATTGCCTGAGCCAGGAGGCCATTGGAAGGACTTGAATCTAGAGTTCCCTCAGAAGTCATTACAGGGTCTTGAGCACAGCAATAATCTGATCTGACCAAAGTTCCAGGAAGATGGTTTTTGTCTAGATTAGATGATAGGACGGCAAGGATAAAAGTAGGGACTACTGTGGTAAGCAAGGTTGGATAGGATGATGGCTCACATGGATGGGGTGGTAACAGCGGAGGTAGCAAGGAGGGTCAGGTTCTGGATACATGTGAAAGTAAACCCAGTAGGATTTCCTGATGGGCAGGATGTGGCAGGTGAGGGCGTGAGAATAGCAAAGCAAGACCTCAAAGTTTTTGCTCTGAGCAACTGAAGAATGTAGTTGCAATCAACAGAGATAAGAAAGGTGATGGGAAAAGATGATCACAAGTCCAGTTGGGGACGTGTGGAGTTTAAAATGCCTATTAGACCTCCATGGTTGATGTTGAGTGGGAAGCTGGATATACAACTCTGAATTTTGAGAGGGAAGTCTGGACTGAAGATACAAAATTGGGAGTTGTTAGTAGCTAGATGGCATTTAAACCAGGGACTGGGTCTAATCACCAATGGAGAGAGACAAGAAATAGAATTGGTCCAGGGACTGAGTATCTCAATATTAGAAGTCAAGGAGAAGATGAGCCAGCAAAGGAGACTGAGAGGAGTGAACACCAAGGTGGGCAAAAAACAAGAGAACAGTGCCTGGAAGTGGAAGCCAAGTGAAGAAGGTGTCTTAAAGAGGCAAAATTTATCAACTGTCCAATAACTGTGATAGGTTAAGTCAGATAGTTGACCGCAAGTTTGATCAACTTGGAGGCCATGGGTGATCTCCATGGGGACAGTTTGGGAGGACAGGAATTGCAGAAGATGAATGCCAACAATTCTCTGGGGAATTTTTCTACAAAGAGAAGCAAAGAAGTGGTGTGGGTGGGATCAAGAAAGGGTTTTGTTTTTAATATGAGAAATAACATGGTCAAATAGGAGGTGCAAGACTAAGGATGTAGGACGGAAAGGTAAGAATCTCTGTCTGCTCGCCCTTGAGCAGGAAGAGGTGATGGATTCTGGTGCCCAGTGGGAGCTGACTTTAGGCAGGGGCTGGGGAGCCTGTCTGGGGACGGAGGAAGGCAGAGCAGGAGCGCAGCCGTGGCTGTGAGGAGATGGAGTGCTGAGAGTCTGAGGGTTCTGTCCTACCTGCTTTAATTTGCTCAGGGAAGTAAGAAGTGAGATCCTCAGCTTGGAGGGAGCATGGGTGGGGGAGATGGGAGGTTGGAAAGAGGAGAACATGTGAAATAGTGATCTAGTTGAACTCTCTCTAGGCTTTTACATTTTCCTTTCTATTTTAATGAAATTAGTTTAATTGGGATCAGTTCTGTAAATTTTATGAGAAAGTCTGAGTCATCAGCTTCTGGTCCTCATCAGATTTTCCCTATTATAACTTTTGCTGTTGCAGATTCCCTTTTGCAGCCATTGTTTCCACCAGGTCCCCCTTTACCAGGTCAAATTTTGAAAATTTAAATTTTGTCGAGATTTTGTTCTTTTGTCATTTTTTTTAAATCAATTTAGCAAATACTACTATGAGCACTCTTAGCCATCGTCTTGGTAATTTCTCTTAAGCCTACTTTTTCCTGGGCTAGTTTTTGTAGTTTTTTAGCAGTAGATGTGATCTTTAGTGAGTTTTTAGTCTGTAAGACATTGATTGTTTTCACCTGGCACAGTTTTTGCTATTATGTTCATCATTTGCTATAATATTAATTATGGACCGGATACATTATTGGTAGGGGAAAAGCAGAGGACCTGAGTGTGCCTCGGGGTTAAAATGGCATAGTAGAAACAATGGCCTAGAGATCTGCTACCTGGTAGGTTTCAGTAAATGTTAGCTTCCTTTCTTTTTCCCTCTCAAGGAACTTGGGCTGAAAGGCTTTACTGCCTGGTCTCCACCCTTCTAAGCCCAAGCAGAGGGCCTGCTGAGAATCAAATGGTTTAGTTTCATAGAGTAAAACACTAAAATTAACCGTCAGTTCCCAAAGTGCTGATTCATTAAGATGATTACCAGGCAGCATTATTTATTATGAGGTACAAGTAAGGAAAAAAATGCACAAGTCCTTGGGAGCCCTAAAGTACTGGACAGGTAAGGCATTACCGGAAGGAGCCTTATAAAGAAATGTAAAGAACACTTCAAACTTCGGGCTTCTTTTATGTATACACATAGAGTTAAGCAGCTGTTTGAGGAAATTAATATGATTCTCATTTAAAAAGGGGTAAGAGACATAAAAAAGTTTTGAGTTATGCAAGGGGCAGGGAGAGGAGACACAATTCACCACTGGGTAGAATATCAGTGAAGTGGGAAGGAAAGATGTACAGCTTGATTTTTAGAGAGGAGAAAATGAACTTCCACCAAGGTTCAGGGCTGACTTCTACCAAGAGGGGGCAGTGAAGAGGGAGAAGGGGGTGCTCGGTCTCCCTGTGTAGCTCTCTTCACCCAAGCCTGTTCCCTGTATCATCAGTCCCACCACTCAAAGCCTTCCTTAGTAAACATTTTGGAAACAGAAACTTCTGTCTCAATGGCATCCCTCCTCTGCTTGGGGGCAAATCTACACTTTATGTGCTCTGGGAAGGCCACCGACAATCTCCCGCTTCGCCAGGGCATCTCTTTAAAGTCTGCCCAGCTCACAGCCCCCGCCACCCTGGACTCCTTTCTCCTTGAACACACACCAAGCTCCTTCCTGCCTTGGCGTCTTGTGCTAGCTGTTGGCTCTGCCAAGAACGCTTGTTCCTAACTCCACTTGGTTGGTTTCTTGTTCAAAGCTCAGCCCAAACGTCACCTAGGAGAAGACTTTCATGACCATCTATAGATAAAGGAGCCACCAGTCTTTTTCATAAAACCTTATTTGCCTTGTTCTTCTAGCACTTTTTGGCACATGACATTCTTATTTGTTAAAGTATTTGTTGATCCCTCACAGAAATCTAAGCTTTCAAGGGCAAGTCTGATTTGATTTACTTACCACTGACCTGCATCAGAACAGTACCTGTACATAGTAGAATCTCAAATATTTATTGACTGATTAGAAAAAAAAAGAAAAGAAAAAAAAACCCCAGACCCTAAAACTGAAATATATTTTAATACTTTTATTCTAAAAAAAAAAAATCACAAAATCCAATTTCAGGTTAAATAATATTTTACTCTTAAAAAATTAACAAAGGAGGAAGGTTTTAAAGTTTGGTTTTATATCTAAAAATGCATTCTTAATTTCCAGATAACTCATGCAAAATCATATGTGGTGATACTCAATAAAAGACCTTTTTTTTTTTTTAACCAGTAGTACAAATTGGATTATACTTGATTTGAAGCAGTTCTGATCCCCAAATCCCATTTCTAAAGATTTCTCAAAAGGCCTTGAAGCCACAGACAAAGTTTATTTGAAAACATAGTTTAAAATTGCACAAATATAAATACAATTTAGTAATGTGAAAAAGGGAAGGCATGCTTCCAATAATAGTACAAAAATACTACCTTAATCTTGGTACTTTGCAAATTATAAGCCAAAGGATTAAGTTAAACACATCAATATGATAAGAGGTTGTTTTTATGGTAGTAGTTTTATTTCAAAGAGCAATGCAGGGAAATACTAAGATGAAGCCTTAATATCCAACAGAGTTGTGCTATGATACATAATATTTCACTAAATACACAGATACATTATCACGTAGTATGCCCGTAACTTTTACAACCCCACCCCATTGCCATTAATTTACTATAGGTCACTTAATTTGGGTCGGTTTTAATTTAAAAACTCAATGTAAACATTTAAATTTTGTGTTATCTATTTCAGCTTAAAAATGAAATCCCAAGATTTTAAACATTATTGAGCATAAAGAAGCATCACAGAAGAATTTGTCTCAATATCTTTAGGTTAGACTAGATATGCAATATTCATAGATATACAAAATATATAGAAACGTCTTTTCTAAATAGTTAATAAATGCTTGTTACAGTTTGTAAAAAGTTTATTAAATTAATCAGGCTTTTTTTCCAACCAATGTAAACAAACCTGGGCAATGAAAGTTGAAGAGGGTTTGAGTGAGGTGATATGGGGGAAATTGAAAGGACATCAGTAAAAATTTAGGTTTGCTTTTTTTCCTTTAGCTACTGGCAGCATTTTCAATCATGAACATTTCTCACATTGCACAATTCTTTTATGGTATCTAGGCAAATTTTTTATATCTCTCAGTGAAAATGCCAAACTACCTAGTTGAGTGTGTATGTATATCTCTTACCATTTTATTTTATTTTCTTTGGTCATACCACTTCCCCTCTCCAAGAAATTCGAATTAAAAAAAAAGACACACTTTATTGTTGAGCAATGAATGGACTGCTGTTCCTTTTTTCATCTTAATACTGTTTTGAGTGCAGGTTTCTGAAAGTGTCTCAATGAGTCTGGCTGGATTTTGTTACCACACTCTGCTCATTTCAAGTTGGTTTTCTCTGGTAGAGCAGGTCCTGAGAAAACAGTTGTCTCCAGAGTGCATTATTTTGGGATTTCTGCAGAGGTTGCCAGTAGTGGAAACCTTATTCAAGGCTGTTTTACCACGTGAGAGTTTGTTAAACCTCACACTTTAATTTTCTGGGTTTTTCCCTCTTAACTGTTTAATGCCTCCTCACAAGTCTTTGCTGCATGTTTGAGGATTTCTGTCTTTGAGCTTATAGGTCTGTGTTTGGGGGTATATGGGATGGTGACAAAGCTGTACTAACAGAAGATCACCCCCCAACTTTGTCTTACTGAGTTTTGCTCCCTTCATTTCTGTCTTCTTGCCCGTATTTTTTTCATAAAGCAAGGGTTACAGAGAAAAGCAGTGAGAGGACTTCCAAGGTGGTTCTGAGTGACCATGAAATCACCTCACCATCCCTGAATTTCAGTGTTTTTAGACAGAGCTCACTGATTTATCGTACAAATAGGGCCATGTTGAGGACAATGGTGTGACACCCCACACACTCACTATGTAACGTTTGTGGAAATTAAGTCCCCATGTCCACTTTGCCTTATGAATGGTTTTCATGTGCCTGACATGACCCCAACCTCCCCACCTTTTTCAGAATGTCAGTATCTCTAACTTATTCCTGAATTTTAGAAAATATTTGAAATGCACTATTCAGAATTTAGAACCCAAAACTGTATGGAGGCAGTCAACACAATGTTGTTTAGTAGCGTTCAGACACAAGGACTTTGTTAGAGTTTTGGATCTGTTGTGCCTCTACTGTTTTTTTTACAACTCGTTTAGATGTCTAAGTTTAGTTTGTCTAGATTCACTTGGCACTGTTGCAACACTGCATACGCCAGACATGTGAATATCTGTAAAGTTCAGTGTGATAGCATTAAAACAGTCTCGAGGATAAGATATTAAAAGCAAATAGTATGACTTTAACACAAAGTTCATGAAAATGCTTCCTTGTTCAGAAGCAAGGAAAAGTAAGCTAACCTATGAGACTTAATCATGCACTGGGTAAATTTACATTCAGTAAAGTTTATCTTGCATGCTTTGGTTAATATTTGAGTAGGCAAATTTGTAAGTACTAATGCATGCGTTACTTCGTACCTGAGGTTATATGTTTTATTTTTTAAAGATTGCCTTTTTACAAACCTTATGCCAGAGTTCATCTATGAACACTCTTTAAAAATATATATATATCTACTTCTTAATTCAAAACAGTTTAATTTCAACCAGTTCTATAAATACTGAGATGACAGGGAAACTGTGCAATAAAACCTGGAAAGGGAATGAATTTGAAATTATTTTACAAAGTTGAAATCATGTGTGTGCATGTTTAATAATTTCTAAAATATGGGGCCTCAAAAAGATGGCACACGAATTAAGCCTTCAGAATACCCTGTTTCTAGAATGCTTTTAGAGTCATTTCAAGGTATAAAACAACAGCAACAACTAACTTAAAGTGCAGTCCAGGCTTGTGGAACTGATTCGGGGCAAATGAGGAAGGGACACAAAATGACCATCTTGTTTTCTCTCTATTCCCAAAGAACTCATGGATAAAGGTTATGGGACAGAGTTTAGGAGCTCCTGTTATATGTGGGACTAGCTATAGTTGGGTTCAAGTCTTGCTTGTATACCAAGAATATGTTAGAAAGATTTATCTAGTTTGAGTATCTAGACATGGATCCAAGATTCAACAGAATAGTTCTCTTTACAGTAAAGAAGAGTGGCATAAAACTCTGAAAGTGAGTGTGTCCTGGACATTCCAACCTGGTTAAGTATCACTAATTGGCCATTCTAGTTGAAATGCAGATTGGCTGAGAAAGCAGAGCTCCTAGTTTTTGGTTAAAGTTTCCTGGTGGACAAGATCTGCCTTTCTTTCCAGGAGTCATGGGAAATGATCTTCAGAGAAAGCAAAGGGAATGATGACTCAGTGTGATTGACCCAGTACGGGGATGCTTTACTCCTTCTTCTCTTCCTTATCCCTCTACGTCCTCCCCACTGTTAAGGTACAGCAGCACATGGAAATAGCCCACTAGACATAGCTCTAACATATTTTGAAATCCAGCAGTGAGCACTGGCTTTCTCTGAATTTTCATCCAATCTACTAGGGAAATCAGTTCTTGAAAGATACATCTAAGCAACTGAATGGCCATTCTAGTAAAAGAGTAGCATCCTCTAAGACATCTTAGGCTTGCTTACTTAGTAATACAAGAAAAAAGAAACTCAAAGCCTTCCCAAGGTGCCTCAGAAAGGAATCCAGGACACCTTGCCCTTTGAAATGGAAAAAAGTAATTTAAATGTCAATTTCACACCACCAGGGTAAAATACCCAAAACAGTTCTGCCTTAAAAGAATGTGTGTATACTTTAAAAATGTATACAATAAAGACTGTTCTATAATCTTACTAATTTTTGGGGTGCTCTGATTTCTATAAACTTTCACTTGTTTTTTAGTAACTGTTTTTACTTAATTTTATTTAAAAATATTGTTGATGTTGAAAAATGGGCAATAGCTCTGCACTTCCTGACAGGCAACCGACTATGAAAATCTTGGTTCTGATGGACACTAGATATACTGAAGAAAGTCCTACTGAATGTTCTGCAAATTATCAAATTATGATGGGAATGGAAAATTGTCTACTCTCCCCTGAAGTCACTTTGTATTCTGACAGCAAAATAAAACTTGGTCTGCTAAATTTTCCACCATCTTATCAATAATCAAATTAAATCAAAGTATCCTAAGAAAAGAAAGCTAAGAAAACAGCCTGTTGTTACTACTGCAAATTCAGTTACTGTTGAAAGTATAGAACAGCATCATAAACAGAAACCTGTAAAGTTTGCTTTGAATCCTGTGTTCGGAGGCTCCTAATGGACTATGATGGATGCCAATCAGCTTGCCAGCCAGTGAATGCACAGAACTTGGGAGGACGAACATGCAAAGAATGGATGCTCTTCTATCGGGGATATCTAAGCAGGCAGCTGCCATGAACTTGGAGGCTGGCCCCCAGAGTCCTTCCTAGACTGAATTCTAGGATTCTAAAATTCTAAAGAATATTCTTGAAAATATGGTTGAACTTTGCTTCTGAGACTGGAGGGAAGTAGGCAAAGGCTGGGTTGTCACTATTGCCCAGTGGTGGATGCCTTAATGTGTCTCTGCCTCCTGCTGTCCAGCCGGGGGCATCACTTTGCCAAGTGAGCGTCGACAATGAAGACGAAAGCTTGGCACACCATTGGACCCTCAACTCTTTGTCCTTATAAACTTTATAAATTCTTTGTCCTTGTAAGCTTTATAAAAACTCTCTGTTGTTATAACGTACTAAACTTCAAGGACCTGTGGTTTTGTGTTTCCTCGAGGCCCCTTCCTACCCGAGGGACTTCCAAGGTAACAGAGGAGAGGATTTCTACCTGCACATTTCCCCCCCAGGCGAAGCTAACTCCCCAGTCAATTAAACCGTCTTGACTCAAATGCTGTTTGCTTGGTAACTATCATCATGAGAGTAATCAGCTACTACTAACCAAAGACCGAAGAAAAATTTGGGATCAGATTGCTTTGGGCAAGTTTCTGGAGGAAGGAAGGAGAAAAGACAAAGAAGAATGGGACCACTTACTAGGACCAATTGTTAGAATTGGACACTGGTGATACTATGTTTTGGTTAGCATTTTGCAAACAATTTTTCTAATTCTTTAAAAAATGATGTCATTCCAAATAATCACCAAGCCCCAACAGGCACAACACACCGTGAAGAAATGAGCAGAATGTAATCAATTAAATAAAAACACTACCACCAAGAGAAAATTCCTGATACTTGATAAATATTCAAAATGAGAGCCAAAGGGGCATGCATCTTTCATATTAAACCTCCGACATTCAGTGAGAGAAAATATTGATCTTCTGTCACTTAGAATGCAAAAGGGTGAACAGTGCAGATTATTATGGAACTAAGAAAACACTTAATTTTTAGGGAAAAAATGTATCACTCTTATGAAATACTATTTAAAATATTAATGGTTTAAAAGGAATATATTGGTGTGCAGGGCAGTTAGAAAGCAAGTAAAATATGGCATTTAAGCAAGTTAATGTTAACTCTATAGAAATCACATTATCATCAAAATTCCTCCCTGCAGAGAATGCATGACAGGATGGTACGTTTCCTCTTGCTTAAGTTCATACAGTCCCAGAAAGCATGTAAGATCTGTGTTTGACATATTTACACCCTATGTCATACCTGCTTTGAGAAAAACTCCTTCAAAACTCTACACTATGAAAAACTACTTTCAGGAATTTTTATTTGGTCCATGGATCTAGCAAGGCCGAGTTCTCAAGTCTTTTACCCCTAAGTTAAAAATTGGAGCAACAAAACAAAACTCCAGCAAGGCATAAATAAGATATTAAAGTGCATATATACAGTCCCAGAAAAGTTTTGATTGGGAACAGCAAAAATTTCTAGTGCAAAAACTGCTTTTGCCAGCAAAGCTCCCTCCTGCTTTCCCTCTCTGGAATTGAAGGGCTACGGTAAAAGTTAAAATTGGAACAGGTTTAAGCAATGACTCTCTTTAGACAAGAGTTAATATACGTGCATGCACCTTGGCCCAAACTATGTTGTAAAAGGGGGGAGTTGCAGGGGATAGTTCAGAAACAGTCAGAATTCCCTGATCAGAGGCAGTGCTTTCTTTCTCCATGTGTCCCACGAGCAAGGTCCTTATATGCGTATCAGCTGCCAGTGGGGACAAAAACCCCCAAAGGACATGTTTTGAGTATGCGTGCAGCTCGTGAAGAGTATTCACACACAGTTATTTCATCTTGGTTTGTCCTTGTGTCTCTCAGTTCTTCTTTCGAGCCCAACCTTGACTCTATATACAACATTTTGTGCTTTTGAATCTGAACAGAGCCTGGGCATTGTCTGTAGGAATTCCCTGTGTTATCTCACCATGGCCTTTTGGACATCTGGTTTGTCCTTTTCTTTTTGGAATTCATAATAAAATAGTTTTGCGTTTCTCAGTATAATTACACAGACAAGGATTTATTATTTTTAATTGTTTTCTTTTCCTTCAAGGATCCAAGTTGAAAGCTCGTAGGAGGACATCCAGGTCACCGAGATTAGCCGCCTGGAAGAGTTCCGGTTGGTCCATCAGAGAGAGTGCGATTCTGAGGGCGGCCCAGATGTTCCCGGAGATCGCAGGATGAGGGACTTGCTGTTGATTCCTGCTCTTTCTTTGCAAACTGAGGGCAGTGAGAAAATTGCTGACCGCTTCTCTAAGAGGGTAGAAAAACAGACATTTAAAAATGCAACAAATTTCAGAGTTAGCAACTTAAAAATAAAACGAAAACGGATTAATTTCTCTTAGTCGTGAAAGCTAAATCACCCCTTTATGGTGCTTTAGATCATCAGGTGAACAACCTTCTGAGTCTCTCATTATTCTTTTGTGAAAAAAATCATTGTTCAGCATAGTGAAATCAGAAAGAAAAAGGAAAGCAAATTTTATTTTAGGACTGTCTTGTGGGATAGAAAGAGTAACAGCCCAAACCATTGCTAACTTATTAATGCATCTGCTTTTCAGGGATAATTTAAAGACTTAATCCTTTTGCAAATGTGATTTATATAATAAAGGTTGAAGAAGAAGCATCTGGCCCTACTCAGAAACGAAGTGGTTTAAGGGACGCCTGGTGGCTCAGTCAGTTAAATGTCTGCCTTTGGCTCAGGTCATGATCCCGGGATCCTGGGATGGAGCCCTGCATCGGGCTCCCTGCTCGGTGGGGAGTCTGTTTCTCCCTCTGCCTGCCGCTTCCGTTTCTTGTGCTCTCTCTCTGACAAATAAATAAAATCTAAAAAAAAAAAAAGAAAATAAATAATTTGAGAGAAAATTAAAAAAAAAGAAACAAAGTAGTTTAACTTTTCGCACTGGTGATAGAAATATGAGAGGTTGCTGGGACTGAGTTGATTTGTTACCAGAGCATCTGGACTTGAATCCTAATCATTTAGCCTGAGACGAATTTCTTTTCTTTTCAACCTCAGTTTCCCCACTGTGTAACAGGGAGAATAGAAGTCATTTTAAAACCTTGTTGTGTGAGGTGCAGTTGGATCAATTTATGTGAAAGCTCTTATTAGGTTAGATCAATAGTTCTCCAAGTGCAGTCTGGGGAACTCCGGGGGTCAGTGAGGTCAAAATCATTTCTACAATAATCCCCAGATGTTATTTTACCTTACTCTCATTTTCTCACAAGTGTACAATGGAATTTTCCAGTGATTACACGATGTGTGAAATCCCAATAGGTTGAATGCGGAGGCACATATGAGGATCTGTCTCTATTAAGCAAGATATTTAAAAGATCGTCAAAAATGATAAAACAATACCGCTCTTCTCACTAAGCACGTTTTTGTTTTGAGGAATCATTATTTTTCATAAAATAGATAATGTTACCATGTGGTTAATTCTTATGTTTAAATGAATCTTTTAAACTTTTCTCAGTTTAACATCTAAGGGGGTAAATATTGGTAGAACCCACATAAAAGCCCCTGGAGGTCCTCAACAATTGTTAAAAGTGTAAGGGGATCCTGAGAACACGAAGTCTGTGACCTGCTGAGTCAGATGCTCTCCACAGGCCTTCCCGCTCCTCCCGGCCCCAGCTTGCTCGTGGGTCCCCAGGGGCTGCTGGATCTGCCCTCAGGACCCCTGGCACCAGAAGCACGTGTTCTGTATCTGACAAACTGGGCTTTGCTGAGAGTAATGACACTGCTTTCATTTGTATCTGCTTCACTCTTCTTAAAAGCTTCTCACACATTCGATCCCACGTACTCTTGCGAGGAGGTCATTAGTAAGCAACTGGTAAGAAGATTTCAGGTGAGGCTGGACTTCTGAGTCCACTGCACATAGTCCAGGCATTTGTTCATCTGTAGGGTTAGACCCACCGGGAAATAAAGGGCAATCGGGGAATGGTGGCATTGTGCATGGCGACCTGGCTGATTGATGGAAGGGAGTGAGGTTTTAATTGTCCTCTCTTCTGGATGGTTAGTAATCAAGCGAGAGAAGAGGGTTTATAAAGAGATGCACGTGTGGAGTTTACTTTGGAGGCCCTTTCTGGCTTCCTTGTCACAGGGTGGCAGCTTAAATGACAATGACTCCCTTTCCTCTCGTCATCCTAGGCCTGTAAGAACTCCGAGGGGAGGAAGATCCTGGAATCCCCACAGGCACAGGCTGCTCCGAGCTCCCAAGTGTGTGGCAGTGGTCTCTGAGGGACATGGAGAGCAACAGAGTAGTCTAACTAGCTAGCCCTGCCAAGCAATGTGAGGTTTTTCCCATGAAGTGAGTCTAAATCCGTTCTCCACCTTGGGAACACAGAGTCCTTTTGGGGAACTCAGAAGATTTTGCATGTAGATGTTTTCAAATGTTTCACACATAGGTGTATGAATAAGTTGTTTGTGTATGTCTTGATTAATAACGTGCATTCATGTAAAAGCATTCCTCATTTTATAGTATCTTTCCCTCATATTAATACTAACAAATTACCACCAAAGGGGATGTGATCTATGTTTTCATTAAAAAGAGGTCCTCATTTTTTTTAATTTACTTTTTATTTTTTAAAGATTTATTTATTCATTTGAGAGAGAGAGAAAGCCGGGGGTGGGGGGCAGGGGCAGAGAGAGAGAGGGAGGGAGGGAGAGTCTTAAGCAGACTCCACACTGAGCGAGGAGCCCTACTCGAGGCTCAATCTCAGGACCCTGAGATCATGACCCGAGCCGAAACCAAGAGTCAGATGCTTAACCAACTACGCCACTCAGGCGCCCCATGAGGTCCTCACTTTTGAAAAGGTTAAGATTCTTTGGTCTAAATTCTACTCTGGAGCTTCTACTGACAGAAGGGTAGCATCTTATGCTACACCCAGGTTTCACGCCAACAATTTCCTCTCCTTATTTCAATTGTATACAATACTGGGGAAGGGCTTGCCTTTGACTTTTTATATAAAATGTGCAATGACAAACAACCAGGGTTATAGCTACATACACAGACATCTGCGGTTCTTGAGGGAGATGTCCCAAGACTCTGCTGGATATGAAAGCATATGAACCAGCATGGCTTTTTCCTGAGTCACATCTCTACTGAGGGTTATTATTTCCTAACTACCCACTTACACCTCAAGTTAAACTTATTTTCAGAATTAATTTAAAGTTTATGTCTCACTCGATGGTTTTTTTTTCTCAGGAAAAAAAATGCAAAATATTTAGTACTTAATAAGATTTTCCACATCTGGCATGACAATAAAAGACCCACAAATCTCAGCTGAGATGTTTTGAAACACTGAAGTAGTCATGCGGTCAAGTTTGCCAGATTTACCCAGTAAAAATACAGGATGCACAGTTAAATTTGAATATCAGCTAAACAGTTCATTATTTTTAGTATGAGCATGTCCCATGCAATATTTGGGAAATACTTATCCTGAAAGTGTATTTGCTGTTTATCTGAAATTGAAATTTAACTGGGCATTCTGTATGTTATTTGGCAACTCTAAAATTGACTTGCTCCTGTACACGTGACTTTCATCTTGAGGATTAAAAATTCTCCCTCAGTAGATGTGCCCAATTCCACCTAACACGGGCCTTCCCGGCCTCCTGCAAACAGTTGCCCTACCGAGCCTGACGCTTGTGAATGCCAAGAAACAATTTTATTGGCCTCTCAAGTATTGTTTTCTACACTGTAATGAGGAGTTCCTGTTAAGAAAGACTCACCTAGAAAGACATGTATCATATAACCTCACTGATATGAGGAATTCTTAATCTCAGGAAACAAACTGAGGGTTGCTGGAGTGGTGGGGATGGGAGGGATGGGGTGGCTGGGTGATAGACATTGGAGAGGGTATGTGCTATGGTGAGTGCTGTGAATTGTGTAAGACTGATGAATCACAGACCTGTACCTCTGAAACAAATAATACATTATATGTTAAAAAAAAAAAAAGGTAGTAGGAAGGGAAAAATGAAGGGGGTGAATCGGAGGGGGAGATGAACCATGAGAGACTATGGACTCTGAGAAACAAACTGAGGGTTCTAGAGGGGAAGGGGTGTGGGGATGGGTTAGCCTGGTGATGGGTATTAAAGAGGGCACGTACTGCATGGAGCACTGGGTGTTATATGAAAACAGTGAATCATGGAACAACATCAAAAGCTAATGATGTATGGTGACTAACATAACATAATAAAATTAAAAAAAAAAAGACTCACCTAGAAGCTTTATAAAAGCCTCCTTTAATTGAATTTAATATGTCTACATGTACATACGTGTTTATTTCCATCTCTCCTTGTTCCAAACAAAGGACGTACGGTATCTCATAAAATACATACATACAACATAGTGAGAAAATAAGTGACTAAAAGGGGTGAAGATAAAATCAGTTTAGGAAAATGAGACGAGACCAGGAATGAACTTAGTATACAAAACGGACCTGGTCAGCCTTTGCCAGCTGGTGTGGGAGGAGGCTGCTCAGGCGTCCTGGGGCCCTTTGCGGGCTGGTGTAAGATCCAGCCTCCGCAGAGGCTCCCTCCACAAGGTCCAGAAAATAAAGCAAATCAGCTGCTCCGGAGTCACTCAGCTATTCCCGGCTTTAGCCTCTTTAGTCCTCTTAGAGGACTGGTGTAATCCAGTGACTAATGTTCTAAGATTCTTTTAGTATAAATGAAGCAACCAGTTTCTGAAACCTCAATATCTGCCAATGGCACAGCCCCCAAATGCAGTTCAGAAACAGCGGCTCTTCAGATGTCAAAGGGATGCTCCCTGATGACTTATCTGAATAAATAATGATAAGGATCCTGATGATGACAGCAATGGTCATAATCATAATAACAAATGCTTACTACTGCTCTGTGCTTAGGCAATTTATATCTAATCTGTGCAATGATCCTGCAGGCTAAATATTATTTTACCACTTTTTTTTAAAGCAGGTGAAGAAATTGAGGCTCAAAGGTATGTGCCCAGAGTCACAAAACCAGTAAATGGCAGAGCTGTGATTTGAACCCAAGCTTTTTTGATTCTAAAAGCCTGGTTCTTTTTGAGAATGAGAAAATGTTTATGTTTTTTGCGGGATTTAAAACTAACAGTTTTCTTTTGTCCAATTGTGAAAGTAATACCTATTTAGAAAGTATAAAAAGAAGGAAAAATTACCTATACTTTCTTTTTTTTTTAAAGATTTTATTTATTTATTTGAGATAGAGAGAGAGTGAGAGAGAGAGAGAGCACGAGCAGGGGGAGTGGCAGGCGGAGGGAGAGGGAGAAGCAGGCTCTCTGCGGAGCAGGGAGCCCGACATGGGACTCAATCACAAGACCTGGAGATCATGACCTGAGCAGAAGGCAGACGCTGAACCAACTGAGCCACCCAGGCGTCCCTTACCTATACTTTCATTACCCCCAAAAAATAAAGGTCGTTCATGGTTCCTGTTGATGAGGAAAAAATAGGACATAGGATATAGACCGGACGATGAGGAATAATGAGAAAACAAGAAAGACGTTTTAAACCATAAACCCACCATTTAAAATTTTTTAAAGAAAAACTTTTTTCTTTAAAAAAATTGTAACTAACCTTACAGGTAAAGTAGTTTTAGACAACCTGGACTTTTGGTTGTGCTTTGCCCAAACCTGGCCCTAGACCTTCTTAAGTCATTTTGCTGGGTCCCCCTGCCCCACCCCCCAAGGTTCTCTTTTTCTTTACCTGGGAAATGAAGGGTTGGACTGTTCAAGTTTCTCAGAGAGTTGCCCCAACCCAGGCTGACTGAATGGAAATCTCAGGGGGAGGGGCCCGGGAATCTGCATTTCACAAGATGCCAACACAATTGCCGCTCTCCAAAGACTGAGAAACACTGAAGCAAACTGTTCCCACTTCAACAGGCCTCAGGATGCAACGGTTCAAATGTTCCCTTAACAAGAGGAGGAGGGCTACTCCTACAAAAGGAGGTATTTTCACTGGCAAACAATCTTTCAGGTTATTTCACCTCAGCCCTGAATGTGGCTCCTGGTTCTCAGCCTACGACCATACTGCACCTGTAGGCACCCAGATTGATGCAGCTGATTCCCAGGTTGTATCTGGATCGGATGAAGCCTGGCTGAATCTCCAGGGCGCGGGTGTAGGCCTCCACGGCTTCCTCACTGCGGTCTCCGTTCGCCAATGTTGCCCCGAGCCGGTTCCATAACGAATAGTCCTGAGGACAAAATCAGAGCTAACAACCGACTCGAGCCACAGTGACCGAGCATTCCCATACTGCTTGCAGAAGAAGCATGGTGGCTAGAAATTTATCCAGGGCTCATGGATAGGGACCAGGACGGCAGAGAATTACTCAAAAAATGGTATGGACGACTTTGTGAAATGACTTTTCATTCATCAAAGAGCCTCTACCATCGGATGCTGTCAGGCAATTCATATTTCTGTTTGACGTACTTGAGGATTAACAGCCACAGTAGCATATTATTAGTACTGATCACATTAAGCCATTGGATGCAGGGAATTAAGACGTAGCAGAAATGTGCAAAGTGTAGCCTGTGAGAAACTTATTTTTAACAGAGAACCTTACGGTTTCTTGTTGTGCACTTACCTCCGGCCGAACAGTTAAGGCAGCGTTAAATGCATCTATTGCTCTATTAAATTCTCCGCTCAGGTGGAACAGTACCCCCAGACCTGTCTGTAGGTCTGGGTCAATCATATCTCCATTTTGGTGGGCGGCTTCCAGATATAATTCCTTAACTCCTTCCAAAACGGAGCTACAAGGGAAAAAATGGAGATGTGTATTCCAAATAGTCTGAACATATATTATTTACTATTATGTCCTCTGTTCCAAGAGAACATCAAAGACTGGAAAAAATCGTGCTTAAAATATCTTCGCTTAATGAGAAGGACTATTAATACTGCATGTTAAAAAATACCTGCTGATTTTCCTGAATTATTTCATCATACACAGAAACATACTGTGCTAAGTAAGGTCTCCACAAGGAGAGTTCCATTGACCCTATGAGTGCCAGTGTGGAGAACCCCAGGGCTCCGTGAGAATGAATTTAACATCGTGATTTATTGCTGATAGAAACAAAATCCCTAGAAGGAAGGACTTCCGTTTTTACTCATAGCCAATTCTCAGGCTTTATGAAATGTGGTGCATTTTATAATTTATTTGAGCTTAATTATATGTCCACAGTCTTTTGCTTTCAGTTATGGTACTCTGGTAAAATGTCTGAGTGCCCACAATCTTGATCATGTGTCCAGTCATTGGTTCTGGTCTCAGCATCAATCTTTGTCATCAGAGTTGCTCTTCTAGCAGGAATGCATCCAAAATGGCTGCTGGTGAGGCTTTTTTTTTTTTTTAAGATTTTATTTATTTTTTCAACAGAGAGAGAGAGAGGGACAGCGAGAGAGGGAACAGAAGCTGGGAGAGTGGGAGAGGGAGAAGCAGGCTTCCCGCTGAGCAGGGATCCCAATGTGGGACTCGATCCCAGGACCCTGGGATCATGACCTGAGCCGAAGGCAGACGCTAACGACTGAGCCACCCAGGCGCCCTGGTGAGGCTTGTTAATTACCCTTAAGGTGCCTAATTGTGTAAATGGGTGTTTACTGCCGACTGTAACTTAATTAGAAGGATACCTATCAACTGGAGACTTGGACATCCTCCGGGTAAGGCCTGGAGATCCCTTCTTGCTCTTCACAAGGTACTTGTACTTTGGATTTTGCTTAATCCAATTCTTTAGAGCTTCACAGGCATCCTGCTGATGGCCGGTATTAGTGTAACTCACGGCCAGAGCCATCAAAGCTTTCAAGTTGTTGGGCTGTAATTCTAAGCACCTGCAAGAAGACGTAAGTAAATAGGTAAATAAATAGCCAATTTCAGATTTTTTCTGAGCCAGTCTAACAGTTCTTTAGGAAATTTGAGGTCTTTATTAATTAAATGGTGCAAAAGCATGGATAAGTTTATGTTAAGTCCTTGGAAAATACCACATTTATCTGTGTGAAAATTGGGACCTAAGTATGTGTGTAAGAAAGTTAAAACTCCTCTCGATGAGCGCTAGGTCTGGTTATTTAGCAAATTGTTTTAAAACTATAGAAAAGGTGGCTAATCCTTGCACAAAATTTATTAGGAGTTTATCTCATGAGGAGGGGCTAGCATTGTTTTAGCGTTGCTCTGTTATTGATCTATTAAATGTATCGTATCCGCAAAGCAAACTGACTAGAGGCAAATTTGGATATGCAGAGATGAAAGTCTGTACAGTGTTTTATAAAGGAGAGGGAAATTCCTGTGTTTCTAGACTACCAATGTGGGTTTACACGAGGCACAGGCTACAGCTGCTCCCCCTCATGCTATCCCACTGGCCTCTAGCAGGGGCCTTTCAAACTTTGAGGTGCCTGAGAATCATCTGGGGATCTGGTAAAATGCAGAGTATGTAATACAGTCGGCCTGGGATGGGCCTGAGGCTGGGCAGGTCTGACAAGCTCCCAGGTGATAATGAAGCTGGTAGTCCATGGAGAAGACCTGGAGTAGTGAGCCTTAGACAGTCCCTACATCAGTGCTTTAGGGAGGGATTATATGTTATATAGGGAAAGGGGAAGTCGATTTGGTAGGGCTGATTTTTCCAGGGTTTACAGAGGGGCTCTAATGAGGTAAAGTGTGATGCTACATCCACCCAAAACAGTCTAGACCTTTAGTCACAGGCTCAGTAGTTACACTTGTAGGTCACTGAAACTATCTCAGGAGATTCTCTGTAGACACAAGGAGCTAAAATTACACTGAGGTTATTTTGAGCATGTTTGTCCTGAAGAAAACTTTCAAATGTTGCAGAAGGCTGAAAGTTAAAAGGAACTATATATGTAATGAGTCTATTTTATGACCGCTTTTGACATGGACACTTTTGTGCCAATGAAGGTCAACTGATTTGTGGATGACGAAACACTGCGATTTAGGAATATTATTTCTTCATAGATTCTTGTTTCCTACAGCTAAGTAATATGTGGCCTCTCAGCACTTATCCTGGCCAAATTCTTTACAATGTACCTAAGGATCAAAAGACAAGATAAACAGAAGTCCACCCAGCCCATAATTTTGCACTTAGCTTCATCTACCTCTGGAGGGCGACAATAGCTGCTTGTTCGTTTTCATTCTCTGCCTGGGTTATCCCGAGGAACTGCCATGCCTACAAAAAACAACTGAGGTCAATATTGCAAGAGGAAGCAGATTCACTCTTGTGCTTTAGATCCCTCCATGCAGAACAACCTGTCTCAGACGCGAGAGTCTTGTAAAAGGGAAAAATACCACAAGCATTTCTTTATTCAAAGGCTCTTCTGACATCTGGGTCAAGATCCTCTGCCATTATTGACAAATTCTCAGTATTTACTCTCCTGTGACACATGGAAACATTTGAGTATCTGACATTTCATGGTATTAGGTGTCTTAAAACCAAAAGATAAATATATAAAAGTATGCATTTGTGAGGAAAGGGGATGGAAAATAACCCAGAAATGTACCTAAAGAGTGTAGACTTTACATGGTAAGGAATCTCAAGATGTACAAAATGAAACTAGTTTGTATAGATGCAAGTCTGACTGTTTCTATAAGAGCTAACAGAAAATTTAGGAACTAGGGAAAATAAAACAAAATCCTCCACTCTAATGTGTTCATGGCTCTAATATCACTGTTAAAATGCATAAAGCACATATAAAATGCAATATAATACATACATAATTGTATAGCCTACACTTTATATTGCATCATGAGCACTTATCATATTTTTACAAAATCCTCATACTTATAATTTTTAATTTAAATTTTGCTGAGTGGATATCCTATTATTTACTCAACCAATTCCCTATTGCTGTCAGGTTGTTTCTAATCCTTTGCTATTGTTGACAATGTGAAGAATATCTTCAAGCAGATAACATTTTTCATATCTAAATGAAAGTTTTTAATATAACAAATTTCTCCCTATATACTTAGAGGAACAATAATTCTCACACCATTACAAGAACAATCCACATGAACAAAACCTCTCATTACATACACTGTCCTCAAATTTGCTGGGGATGGGGGTATATCAGTCTTACGGATTTAAAAGGGTTTGGGGATTTGGGGGCGCCTGGGTGGCTCAGTCGTTAAGCGTCTGCCTTCGGCTCAGGTCATGATCCCAGGGTCCTGGGATCGAGCCCCGCATCGGGCTCCCTGCTCAGTGAAGAGCCTGCTTCTCCCTCTCCCACTCCCCCTGCTTGTGTTCCCTCTCTCGCTGTCTCTCTGTCAAATAAATAAATAAAATCTTAAAAAAAATAAGTAAATAAAAGGGTTTGGGGAGTGCATATCTCTCCCACCTACAGACATTTTAAAGCAAAATTATATGAAGATACATAGAAGCATCCTCAAGTGCTATAAAAATTATATTGGCTTGGGGTGCCTGGGTGGCTCAGTCGTTAAGCGTCTGCCTTCGGCTCAGGTCATGATTCCAGGGTCCTGGGATCGAGTTCTGCATCGGGCTCCCTGTTCCGCGGGAAGCCTGCTTCTCCCTCTCCCACTCTCCCCGCTTGGGTTCTCTCTCTCACTGTGTTTCTCTCTGTCAAATAAATAAATAAAATCTTAAAAAAAATTATATTGGCTTTATCATCCTGAGTTATTATTACCCATGCCATATAAACTCATAAAAAATACTGATTATTTTCCTCTCAAATATCAGTGATTCTTTTTATTCGTTCAAATGTACACAGAGCAGCCCCTATGTTGATTTCACCTTCCATACATCTTAGAATGCTTCTTAAGTTTGATGAAACAGTCCCTCTCTGGGGGCTTCTCACTAGCCTTTGAGCATGGTGTCATTTTCACTGTTCACAGATCGTCCTTTACCTGAATTTTGGGGTCTCCAAGATTCAGAAGCCCTGGGTCCTTGGTTGGGATCCATTAGTTACCCAGTGTCCTAATCTTCTCATTTATGAATCTGACATAATAACGTATACTTCTTTTTTTTAAGCTTCCAGGGTTGTTGTGTCAAACTATATAATACACATGAAAACACCGCAGCATTTAGAAATGTAAGATGATATTCTTTTGGGGGTTGGCCTACAGTTTTCTATTAATGTAATGACTTTCTTTTCCTCTTAAAAATTCCAATATTTTGGTTCACATTCCAATTCTCAGCTCAATCTTGTTTCACTATCAACGTTTTGACTGACAAGATACCAGGGCTTTAACCTATTGATCAGTTTACTCATCCTTCCTATACAAACTTTAAGTACAACCAGTAATAATAATGAAAGCTAATAATTGATGCACCAGGCACTGAACTAAGCACTTTATTTATATGAACTAATTTAATCCTCACAACACCCAATGAATAGTTATTATAATCGTGACTTCCATTTTATGTATGAAGAAATGGAACTGAGATGGTTTAAATGACTTGTCTCTGATCACATGGCTCATGGCTCATGAGTGGTAGAGCAGGGATTTGAACCCACACAGTTAGGACAGCACAGCCTAGAAGCTTAACCACTACTCTATACTGCCCTCTCAGCACCGTATATACCACTCCCTAAAATTTCTGCGAATCCTTATGAGGAATATGCCTCATAAGATGATTCCTGAAAATTACTCCCAAACTAAAAGAGAAGACTTTACACCTGCCACTAACTTATTACAGGCCTCTGCAGGTTTAGAAACATAGTGGACCAAAGGAGGATGGTGAAGCCTCTCTGGGTGGTCTCCTGGCCTCAGTCTCCATCACCTTCCACACCTCAGAGTAAGGGGTTTTTCGAACAGGCAAATCGGATTGTATCCCTCTGCTGAGTAGAGTCCCCTAGTGGTTCCCCTGGCTTTCATGAAGTTCAGACTCTTACCCACTTCTTCCTGCCTCCTCTCCCACCATTGTTTCCTCCCCTCTACCCTCTGGAACAATGTTTCATGCCCCACGGTCCACACACAAACCACTTCCTCTTAACGCCTCCGCCGCCCCTGCGGTCTTTCATTAAGCCCCGCCTCCTTCAAAACTCACCTTTGGATTTAATTGCAGGGGAAGGCCCCCTCAGGAGCCTTGCTCTCTGCTCCCCTAGCATCCTGTGCATACTCTGACATTGCATTTATTACACTAGTCTCTCCAGATAGAACACAAATGTATCTTTTCAACAGTCCCATTTTCCCAGCTCTTCAATATTTGAAGCCAGTGCCTGGCACAATTCTTAGGACCCAGTATGTGCTCAGTAAACGTTGAGTGAGCGAACCAAGGGTGAGATACGGCGTGGCTCTAGTCCTAGACAAAACTATACACTGCCCCCTGAAAACCACTGCTGAGCCTCCAGGTTGACAATTTTGGTTTTTCATTTCTTGTCCCCACCCTTTTATTTTTGGGCACTGGAGATACTGCACACTTGATTTGGTTAGCGAACAGGTACCTATATGTAACTTTTGAACACATAGCAGAGTAAGCCAGGTTAACGCCTTTGGGAGCCTTTCCTTGATGCAAATGCAGCCGAGGGGAGCTCTGTGGCGCCCCCTGTCCCTCACTCACACGCAGCCACTTTGTGAGCCGAGCAGGAAGAAGGGAAAATGTTACCTCTGCATCTCCAGGGTCCTGAAGAATCGCTGCTTCCATGAACAGGATGGTGACAGGCAGGTCCCCTTCCTTCAGTCTTTTTAAGCCTTCTTCAAATGCTCCAGGCCAATCCTTGAAGGGATTTTCAGTGTGAAAGTAATATCCCTACAACACGGAGAAGGGTACTATGAGATCCATCCATTTATCTCTTCGTTCTGATATTCACTAAGCTCTTTTTGAATTTGAATTTATTTGTTTAAGTTATTTAAGTTAAATCGAAATTACTGTTTTTCCCCCTTCCTATGAAGGTAGGACATTTTCATTGTATAAATTTTGGATGATATTATTTTGTTATTGAATAATATAAAAAGAAACAAAAGTTACCCATCAAGCCACAACCCCTATCACTGCTAATATTTTGGAGTTTGTTTTCTATTACTCTTTTGCTCTCTTTGTTTTAGCCATTTCCCCCTGAGATTTAAAAAATCCAGAGTTTTAGACGTATTTTTGCTAAGTGCTACCTTCCATTCCCCTGAAATGTTAATGCCACATACTGTACATCTGTTTATGTGCTGTGACCCTTTGGAGGGCTACCAACCATTCTACTATCTACGATTTTTTTTACCTTCCTGCTCCTTGAACCAGTTTTTGTCCCATAGGGGGCTATATTTGCCCCATTGAGAATGCATGTTTTAAAGTTATAGGTCTTTTCTTTCAAAAATTTAAATTGTACAGAATGTATAAATAATCTTTTTCTATGAATATATAAATTAAACAAATAAGCTCATACCATATATGCAGTTTTGTAGCTTAAGCCCCACTTAGTTTTAGTTTTTAAAATTATTTGCATTGTGCAAAAACTTATTTAACGAAACTCCTACTGATGGACATTCAGGTTACTTTTGATTTTTTTGTCCTCATAAATAAAGTTACAGAGAAAACCTCGTGCTCAAATCTTTGCGTATGATTATTAACTTAGGATAGACTTCTAGAGGGCTTTTTTAGACTAAAGGCTATGAACTATTTTGAGGCCCTTGATATGTATAACTGAATTGCTTTTGAGAAAAATTTGTCCCAAGTTAAACTCTAATTGGAAATATCTGAGAGAAATGATTTGTTGCAACCTTACCAGCATAGATCATCATAATATCCTTCTAATTTGATAGATACAAATAAGCTAGTCTGTTAATGATGCTACTAAGGTTTAAAAATAGATTAAATGGAGACTTTCATTCTCCGTTGTTGCTGAGAAAGACAAACCCCCTTATCAAAGCCACAGGGTATGACCAGTTTATGTAGTGGTGTTACAGATATGGGGTCCCAGGGGCGAGGAGCTCAGGGCCCCAGCCATGCCTCAGGCGCATGAATTACAGCCTAGAGTCTGCCAATCTATATCAATGTTTTCTCTTCTTGCCTAGCTTTGATTTCTTTGTAGAAGAGGGTTATTTTTAATAAGATACTCTAATTTTATGAGATTGCCTTGCCTACTGAGGGGCAGAGAATACTGGCAGGAAGACATTTTAATGACTATGTAGATTGAAAATCCTCTAAGATTGGAGACTATTCATCATCATATCTATTGCTAGGTAAGCATTCAATAAATATTTGTTGATTGAACAAATGGAAGTTATCCAGAACTGAATATTATTGAGACTTCCTCTACCACAAAAAATCCATAATACACACATATTATATGTATATACATATACATATATATATAGTTTTTCCTTCAGTAAGAAAATTCCATATCTTTTTCTATCTTTCAAGTCCTTTAAATTTATTTCTCAAAAGTGTCCCTCCCCTCTTCACCAAGTGTTTTTATTTTTTATTATTTATTTATCTGTTTTTATTATTTTTTTCACCAAGTGTTTTTAAAAGCATAAACCCAAGGGCAACTGGGACTTCATGGGTAATTTGGCTGGTTGTTTGACTGAACTCACACATTTGCCGGGGCTCCTTTCAGGGGAATATCCTAGGATTGGGACTTGTCCCTGGGACTTGACCTGGCTGCGTGAAGGGTATCTTTTCCACTGTGTTTCTTTGTTAGCTGTGTAAGGACCACCTGGGCAATACAGCCCTAAGCCCCACCTCACTCCCCTGTCCACTGATACCATTTCTCTTAGCTCGTCCACATGGCTCACATGAATGACTGACAAAAAGCATTGTGAGATTAGCCAGTTCTTGTTCCAACCCACCCTCCACGTCAGTTAGTTCAGGAACTTGCCAGCAGTCAAGAATGCAAGCTCTTGTTGGCTGTCAAACAGTATTAACATTGATAAAAATAAGGATATTTCATTCTAGCTTTGCTGTCTTCACACATTGGATGATTATATTGTTTTCATCCACCAGAATTTCTTCTAGGTCAGGCTGACAATAATTTGTCTACTTAATTCTTGAATTTTTTGCAAAATAGTTAATGACTAATTTATAAAAATATGATGCAAAGAGGTTGAGAAAACTGGTCAGCATATATAAGAACAGAATCAGTCACCTTCTCGCTAGCAGAGATTGTAACTTGGTTCTGAGCTTCTTGGTTCTCCGATATCCAGTTCCTCCGGGCCATTTCTTCCCATTCTGCTTGCATCTTATCCCAAAACTCTGTATCTGACTAGGAGACAGGAAGAATGAAGAGAGATGGATTTAAGACCATGTTATGTCACCTGGTTTATTTCTAAAAAGACAGTTTTCCTCATAGATCAGAATGAGTTCTGAGGAGGAATAAAATGTTCAAACTGGCCACATCCAATGATACTCACGGTTGAAGAGCTCCTGGAGGGTACTTAAGTGGTCAGAGTGTTAAATTGGATTAGTTGTGACTTTCTCCAGCAGGAAAATAGTTACCATCTGAAGGACAAGGATCGTATATGCCAAATTCAGCTCAAAATCCATTACTTGAGCAGTTTCAAGTGTGGGCACTGGGCACATATTTTAGGAAGGACGGTCTTAGAGTTGCTCTCAGGATATGAGGAATTACAGCAATGGCTTTGGGACTGAATGGGCAGTGACTTGGGGAAGCAGCTGACCATGGACAAGGGAAAATAACATTAGTTGACCCTACTCTGTGCCAGGCACCTTGCTAGGAGAAAACTGAACATAGAGGATTATGGTCACAAAGCTAGGATTGCATAGCATCAGAACCCCAGTCTGGCGTCCAAGCCTTTGCTCATCACCTATGGCAAACATGGCCTCCTGGTGCTAAAGAATGAAGGACCTTGGCTTTTGGTGTGAACTTAATTGAGTCCTCTTAGTCAAGGTCTTGTCTATGGCAGGATGGTTTTTTGAAAAATATTGCTTTGTGTTTTTCTCCTTATAATTTTCCTTTATGTTTTCCAAAAGGGAAACCAGGCCATTTGCTCCCTTTTACCTCAGGGGAGGACTGAAACAGAAATTTTCTGCAAGATCTGTCCCTGGTTGGCTTCTATTTTGTTAAGCCTAAAGAGAGTACTTTGGGTGTCCTGGTGTGAGGAAAAAGGGGCAAATATTTTAAAGAAGTTAAGGGAGGAAAGGGAACTTTCCAGGGGCAGGGAAGACAAGGAGGGTGGTGGATTCTGAGATGAGTGGGAGACTGGTGCTTAGCTTTTAGGTTTTTCCCTGCGAACTGGCCTGACTTCCAAGAGGGTGACAGAAGGTATGACTGGGGGGCTGACTTCAACTCTGATTCTGACATGGGAGGGACATAGACAGAAACTGGATTTCAGCTGGGGCTTGTTGGCTGTTAGCCGTCAACATGACAGACAAGAGGGTGGAGACTCTGCCCTTGATTTCTGGCACCACATAATCCTTCCATATTTGGTGTCTGAGTCTAAGTTGGTAAGAGAGATGCTTGGAAACTACTTAATTTTCTTTAAAGAAAACAAGGGATGTTATTGCTTGAACACCTGAGTCTGGGACTGAGATGCATACTCTTATCTACAAATCTCAATTTCTATGATTCTAAGTCCTGTGACTTGCTGACACACCATCAAGGTTGTCCTTCACCTTTCAATCCTTCTAGTCATACCTTCTACTCTATCCTCATGCCTGGTGGTGGTGGTTCTATGGTGGGAACTCCTCAAAGTTGCTCTGAATGATAATTATACGCTTATTTCTTCTGGATATAAATGCTCAAGAAATAAGGGCCAGCCCAATGTGATTAATCCCAGGCAGCTAAATAAATAGTAGGTCTTGTTATTCTCCTTTATTATGTCCACAATACTCCTTCCTACCACAGGAGTGGGTCCTGTCCCTTCAGCAGAGGCCTCCCCTTGAAGCCTCAGGGTGGCAGGCACCTTGATAAATCTGTGTTTGAGATGCTAGAAGCACATGGAATGGCCACCACTTATCCAGGTTAAGCTTAGGAATAAAACTCAAAGTGTCTTTTTTAACAAGTCTTTTTAGCAGAATACCAAATTATGCAAAAGAATGATCTCAGATGTACAAAAGCAATGGCTTGATAAAAAACTAGAAGGAAATATGCTGCCATGTTAAGAGTAATCTGTCTTTGAAGGAAGAGATGATGGGTGGTGTTTTTCCTGCTTCTTTATACTTTTCTGCACTTTCTGCATTTTCTATGAGTATGCATTGCTGTTCTAATTTTTTAAAAGGTTCAAAACGACAATAAAAGAGAACAATTACCTGTCCTTTTTTAAATACCATAAACCTGAATACTTAGATGCTGAGGAATTTGGAAAAAATTTTTTGAAAAAAATTTTGGAGACTTGTTTTCTTGAACAGTTTTTCACAGTTCAGCTTGTCTGCATAGAAACTAAATCTATCGAGTGAATATAATTACTGATTTTCCCAGTTCTTCTGAATGAAAGAAGGAAGAAGACTTCATAACATGTACCTCTGGATTACAAAAGGATGCATCACCTTTCCTGCAGTTTCAAATTAGAGCGTGGATGCAGAAACAAGACTGCTGTAGAAAACAGGACCTCAGTGGAGGTGAGGCTGCCAGGCTCTTATTTAATGAGATACACCAGGACTTACTGTTACCACTTAGAATAAGTTCTGCTGACTAATTAAAGTGCACAGCACAGATTCATTTAATTACAGATGACTACTTTTAGCACAATCAATTTTCATCTAGTCTCAGAATCCAGATTTCATTCACATAACTGCAATTAACACTGCTTCTTTTTTCTATTTCTAATCAATTTTAGAGAAACCTGAAACAAACTTGAATTTTAACCATTGTAGACACGACTGAGGGGATTTTATGTATTGATGATTTTCTTAGCTGTTCTGGGATTTTGTAGACGGTTTTTTTTTAGACTCTCCAGGTAATAAGTTATCTGCTTACACCAGAAATGAGCTATCTGCAATCCATTTTCATTTTTAAAAATAGCTTTCTGATTATAACAATGGTAGATATTCATAAGAAACTTGGGACATGTGGTAGAGTGGCTAAGAACAACAGCTCTCTCCTCAGATGGACCTGGGAACAAATGAGGCTTCATCACTGACCTTCGGCAAGACCCTTGACTCCTCTAGGTCTCATTTTCCTTATCTTTAAAATGAACATACAGTAGTGATCTTGGTTAGTCATTATGAGGATTAAATAAGAAAATATATCTGTGGCATGAAACATATGGAAAATGTTCAGTAAATGTAGGTGTGCTTATTAGTGTTTTTGTATCACTGAGAAAAAGGTAAAGAATGAAACAAAGAGGGGTGCCTGGGTGGCTCAGTCGTTAAGCGTCTGCCTTCGGCTCAGGTCATGATCCCAGAGTCCTGGGATCGAGCCCCGCATCGGGCTCCCTGCTCGGCGGGAAGCCTGCTTCTCCCTCTCCCATTCCCCCTGCTTGTGTTCCCTCTCTCGCTGTGTCTCTGTCAAATAAATAAATAAAATCTTAAAAAAAAAAAAAAGAATGAAACAAAGATCACCTACAATCTCAAAGCACAAATATACATCTATGAGTATCTTGGTGTTTTAATTTGCTGTAAATACATATCCTCTTCTAGATACCTTTCCTCTCTTTATTTAAATCTTTCGCTTCTACCTAATTATTCAAAAATTGGACCAAAGTTAAGATTATGGACAAAACAGACTGTTGTGTAGCCTAAAATGGTATTTAAGAAGAGTTATTACAACATGGAGCAGGCCTCAGGTTATACCATTCCTTTATAAGTACTGTGATCACAGTGATAGACAACAACAACATATAACGTGTTGGGAAAATAATGACTATAGAGAAATGCACCAATAGCATTACTTTCATGGGATGGGATTATGAGTAATTGTCCCATCACCTTTCCTTGTATTTTACAGCATTTCCCAAATTTTCTATTGCTAACATGTTATTTTTGTGAAAATAAGATTTGGTTAAAAATACTTACTTCTGGGGTGTCTGGGTGACTCAGTCAGTTAAGTGCCCGACTCTTGATTTGGGCTCAGGTAATGATCTCAGATTCGTGAGATCAAGGCCTGGACGGGCTCTGAGCTTGAAGCAGAGCCTGCTTGAGATTCTCTCTCTCCTGCTGCCCCTCCCCCAACTTGCGCATGTCTCTCACTCTCACTCTATCTAAATAAGTAAATAAGTAAAATAATAAATAAGTAAAACCTTAAAACCTTAAAAAAGTAAAACCTTAAATAAATAAGTAAAATAAATAAATAAATAAATAAGTAAAACCTTAAAAAAATACTTCTTTTCAATTTCAATTCCTCCATGATGTTTCTCCAAAAACCCTAAACTAGAAGCATCTCTTGCTTCTCTCTGTTCCTTTGAACTAACATTGTGTAGTTAGGAAGAAGAGAGATGTGTGCTAGAAGCTTCTATTATCCCTGTAAACTTGAATAAGTCATTCAAACCCATCTGAACATTGTTTTTTGTCATTTGTAAACTAAGACTAAATTGGCTACACAATAGCTCAGGTTTCTTTATCTATGCAGATTGACTCAGAAGATCAGAATAAGTGGGATGGGAAGTGGGCTTCTAGCCTAAAAATTATACTTTAAAGCATTTTCCTAAGAGTAAAACTGACATTTTCCCTTCACTTTTTGATTGTAAAGCTAGAAAATAAAAATTTCTATAAGAACCATGACAAAATTAAATACTAATTAAATTAAAATATAAAGAATAAAAAATAAACAATTTAATTTAGAACTAGGGAATTTTAAGGAAGAACAGCATATTGCTAGTTCCCACTCACCAGTCTATTTTGGTTATCCTTGAGTTAAAATAGAGATACTTTCTATTTTGTGGCCAAACATAATTGTTGAGTAGAAGGATTCTGGGGTTGTTCTGTGAAAGAACTGTTTGATGTGAGATGATTTGCCCATTGTGCCTGTGAGGAGTCTGACTTTCTTTTTGCTTCTTTAGACATCCATTGATTAACTGTCACTGGATCAAAACTTAAACAAACAATCCATTCTCTATATGCAAAAGAAAAAAGAGTAGCCCTTGCATGGCAAGGAATGAAAATCACTGTGCAAGTTTGGACAAAATATTTGCCATAACAGACAATTTTTGTTGAAGGGAAATTATGTGTAGATCAGTTAGAGACCTTATTGCCCAGGGACCCAGTAGCCCAGGCTAGCAAAATGTGGCTGAAACATCTCCACTCACATCTTGTATTGACGAAAAGCTAATATGTCAAACATTCCATGTGGCTGCCCGAAGAACATATTC